AATATTTTCAGTCTTGTACAATAATTTTAGTGAACGGACGTGTTGTGCGATACTATTTTCAGCACAAACGGGCTTTTACAAGATATGCGTTTGCATATGTAAGTGCTACTTGTTTGTATGTCCCCGTATATTAAAATGTATCAGAAAAGTAGCATTTACATATGGGGATACATATCTTGTAAGAATGCTTTAATACTGTTCCATTAATGCATTTTTGTATGTTTGAAACATTAATACAGCCATATGCATACAGCAGTAGTACAAGTGTATGATTAAGGTACGCATACGCTCTGAGAAACCACGCGTGTTAAATGGAAATGAAGGTTCATTTATACTGGCATGTATACACAGCAGCAAGCTCATGCCACCAACAGCGATGTTGTATGCTTAAGATTTCTACTGGGGTTTTTATGCAATGGTCGGCATACTAGCGCATTCAAACGATTCAATAAGTGGGACTGTGTGCATTGCTTAGCTGGCGCTCTTCGTATGTAACACACACGTGGTCAGAGAGCGCTGATCATTATTTAGGGGTGGCTCACAAGCATGAATATGTTCCGCTCTCAAACCAAATCGTGGTTATCTGTATTAGCAGAGCTTAATGACATCCTTTTATGAACCATACGTTAAGTTGAATGGAATTTGTAGAAATATGCTTCAAAGAAATATTTATTAGTATTTACCAAACCCTTCAACTAAATTAACGGTTTGCTACAACCTAGATAAATATTAGAAGCTTTAATATATTTAGTTATAATTACCAACACATGGTAATAGTTCCCAATCCTTGGTAACAGTTCCCAAATATTGTTCAAATTCGGGAACTAAATATCTTTAGTTGTCGAAAGTAATCCTTTTTCTCAGCGTGTGCCACTGCACAATCGAGGTGCGTCCAGGTTATGCATCAATATGACTGGCACCCCAAACTTTAATTGCAATTTGTGCAACGGCACCCCTGAAAAGTCTTAAGAGTTTAGAAACTCTATAGGGTATGTTGTTGCACCCTCATTTGTCATCACTGTATCAACAGACATGTACATATGTAGTCGCCTCACCAGGGCCCGAATCGCGGCAGCCGTGAGCATGCGAGCAATCGCGTCGAGTAAAATTACGTGACGTGTCGAGTAGCCGGATCGCCGCATTCGAAACGAAGCGAATAAAATGTTATGCAATAATATCCCTGGCGTTTCTCTGAATGACATTTACAAATAGCATGAAATGCGAAAACAAAACAAAACAATAAAAGTATTTGAATTGAAATCCAACGTAAGTATTCAAATGTACGAAATCTTCTTAAGGAAATGTATGAAATTTGGGTTTTGCAGGCGCTAAAATGAACCCCGTGGTATTTTTTTATACAAGCTCATCGGATTCAGACGAGGAGCATCACCAAGAGGCCATAAGGTGCAGGATTCGCGATAAAAGCAATCCTATGGCTTTATCTGACGCAGCGTAAGAAAATGAAGTTTTATAACATTTAAATTAATTTTTATAAATCACTTACAGATTCAGAAAGCGCTTTAGACTCTCTAAAGATGCATTTAGTTTCGTCCTGTCGGAAATAAAATTTCAAGGGCATTTATCAACCGCGGTGCCACCAATGCTTCAACTAGCGGCAACTTTGTCCCTTTTGGCGAGTGGAGGCTACCAGCACTTAGTTGGAAACGACTTTTTGATCGGGGTATGCCAAAGCACAGTTTCTAAAATTGTGCCCACAGTTCATTAAGTTTCGCCAGACCGCCTTTCTCATTGCACGGAATCATTTGTTCAGAAATATAAAATTCCAGGAGGCAAGTTTACCGATTACATTATCATTAACAATTTCGTACTAATAACTACAACTATATTTACAGTTATCGGTTGTATTGATGGCACACATTTTGCTCTTCAAAAACCAACTGAAAATGAGCATATGTTTTATAATCGGAGAGGATACCACAGCCTCAATTCAATGATAGTAAGTTGCACATACATATGTATGTACACATTTATACATAATATGCATTTATACATGTGTATGTATAAATGAAAAACTTATGAATATGAATGTACATTTGCAGATTTGTGATCACGAGTATAGAATTTTGGCTATTGACTCGAAATATGGTGGAGCAGCACATGATTCATTTGTGTGGAAACATTCAGCGCAGAGGAGATTTTTAGAGGATGAATACAATCGGAAATCATTTGAAAAATGTCTGGCTTTTAGGTTATATATGCACTTATACAAATACTTAAATATAGTATTCTATATGTATGTATTTTCTCATTTAACAGGAGACTCAGGTTACCCTTTGGAGCCATGGTGTTTGACACCATTCAGAAACCCCGTAGATGGTTCGAGTCAAGCGCGGTTCAATGAAATTCAGTCGAAAGCACGTTGCATTGTTGAACGCACCATTGGTATTTTGAAGGGCCGATGGAAAATTCTCAGTAATGATAAAAGAAGTCGTTACACCCTTGAAAAGATGGCGCAATTTGACAATGTATGTGCAGCGTTGCATAACATTTGCATAAATTTTAAAAGTCCGTCATACTGTAGCTGTTTTGTAATTGATAATGATGATATTGAAATAGATACAGGAAGTGAAACCCAATTAACCAAAATTGGGCATAAAATAAGAAATCGCATAATGTTGTCGTTGGATAATAATTAAATAAACACTCGATCGACAGTTTAATCCATTTCCTTTTAATAAAATATTTTTTCTTATTAAAATAGGAATAGGAATAGGAAAGAATACGGGTGATTGGAATCCGTACAAACTTGCGCTAACTTCTTATAACAAAGAATTGCGGAAATCCAAAAGCGCTAGCTGGCGAAACCACTGCGAGGAAATAAAGAGCCTCCCAGAGGCAGTACGCCTCCAAAAAGCACTAAATAGGGAACACAAAAATACGATCGGCACTCTAAAGAAACCAGATGGTAGATATACTCAGCATCCGGGAGAGACTTGCAGACTTCTGCTAGACACTCACTTCCCGGGCGGCAAAGCGGGCTATTATCTACCGGAATTGGGTGTCCCAGCACGCACTTCTGGTAGAGAGCAAAGCCTTGCAACTAAACTTACCACGGTAGAAAGAGTGCAATGGGCGGTATCTACCTTCAGCCCATACAAATCACCAGGACCAGATGGGGTCTATCCTTGTCAACACCAACAAGGAAGTAACTACATAGCCCCAGTCCTTTCCAGACTATACAGAGCGTCGCTCCTACTGTGTCACATTCGCAGTAGATGGACAGAGGCTAAGGTCGTATTTTTACCGAAGGCAGGTAAGCCGGAGCAAATGCCTTCATCCTACAGACCAATTAGCCTCAGCTCATTTCTCCTAAAAGGCATGGAGAAAATTTTGGATCCACACATCAGAGAAGTCAACCTAGCGGAACGACCACTGAATTTGCCTATCAACCAGGCAAGTTCACTGAGACTGCCATTCACAGCCTTACATCGCAAATCGAAAAGGCTCTGGAGTCTAAGAACATAGCCCTTTGTGCCTTCATTGACATTTCAGGGGCTTTTGACAACACGTCATACAGGGCAATAAGAGATGCCCTGATATGCAAGGGAGTGAGCCCCATCATAATAAATTGGGTGCTTTCTATGCTAAAAACAAGGAAGATCAGGATGGAGCTGGGAGGCACGAAAGAATCGATTACAGCCACAAGAGGTTGCCCTCAAGGGGGTGTACTCTCTCCTCTTCTGTGGACTATGGTTATAGACGAACTCCTGTTCCTACTGAACGACCATGGCTTTGAAACACAAGGATATGCAGACGATCTGGTAATTTGTGTAACAGGGCTGCATGACGAAACGATCTCCAACCGCATGCAACAAGCCCTGCGCATTACGCAAAGATGGTGTGACACCAAAGGATTATCCATTAATCCTACTAAATCTATTCTGGTTCCGTTTACCCGGAGGAAAAAGTTATCCATGACAGAATTGACTCTGGGCGGCACTAGAATAGGGCTCTCAAATGAAGCAAAATACCTGGGGGTGTGGCTAGATAAGACACTCACCTGGAATGTACATTTGGATGCAACCGTAAACAAGGCAATGAGAGCCTTCTTCGCATGCAAGCGACTTTACGGGAAGACATGGGGACTCTCCCCCAAAATGACTTACTAATCACACAGTTGTGAAGCCGATAGTAACATATGCATCCTTGGCATGGTGGACAAAAGCGACACAAAGAACTGCTACCGCAAAACTTAGCAAACTGCACCGAATGGTGTGCATTGGTATAACAGGGGCTATGCGGACCTGTCCTGCTGATGCACTTAGTGCTCTTGTAGGCATACCGCCCTTCCCAATTCTAATCGAGAGGGAGGCCAGTCTCTCGGCACTGAGAATCCTAAACACTTCCGAGTTAAAAACCGGAAACATGACAGGTCATATGAAGGTCCTTATGAAATTCACAAATGACCCCATAATGCATATGAGGGACTCAGTAGCTCCGATACTAGTAATTTCTAGGAATTTCAAGGTATCTATTGCGGACCGAGCATCCTGGAGCACAGGAAACCCCTACACCAAACCCGGAGCTGAAGTTTGGTACACTGACGGATCAAAACTTGAAGATGGAAAAACTGGAGCTGGTATATGGCATGGGCCGAATTTTAAAAGATCGATACCAATGGGCAGCTACCCCACCATTTTCCAAGCAGAGATTCATGCGATCGATATCTGTGGCAGAGAATGCCTAAGAAGAGGAACATCCTCTAAAAACATCTGCATTATGTCGGACAGTCAAGCTGCCTTGCTAGCACTGAGGTCCCACATAATAACATCAAAACTAGTGTACGACTGCCTCAGCACCCTAAACGGTCTTGGAAGCACGAACACAGTATTACTGGGCTGGGTGCCGGGCACAAGGGCCATGACGGCAATGAACAGGCGGACCGTCTAGCAAAACACGGAGCTACCACACTATTCCATGGCCCGGAACCCTTTTGCGGGCTCACCAAAGCCCACTTAAGGGAGGTCATAAACAAGTGGGTCGACAAAAAATTCGATAGGCACTGGAATGAATGTCCGGGGCAAAGACAAGCTAAGCGGTTCATCTCTCCATCACAAGAAGCATCAAAAAAGCTCATAAATCTAGGCAGGGAGGACCTTCGAACTCTCACTGGGTACTTCAGGGGACATTTTTCACTGCGTTATCACCTCAGTAAAATGAATCTTTCAGACACGAGCGTCTGTCGCTTCTGTGAGATGGACGAAGAAACGCCAGAACACATCCTTTGTGAATGTGTTGCTCTCGCTAGACGCAGACTCGCTCACCTATGTGGTACAACACTTAGTCCATTCGAAATATGGAACAAAAAGCCCACCGAAGTGCTAGCTTATATTAAAAACCTTCACGTATAGGGTAAAGGGGCACACACAATAGACCACCCTAGAGGTCGCAGTGCTCAAGGCTCATAATAATAATAATACTAAAATAGGAACTTAAAATAAAATTCAGTCTTTTTATTCATATAAAAATAGGAACTTAAAATAGAATTTTCATTATATACACATACAAAAAATAGGAACTTAAAATAGAATTCATTATACACACATTACGAAAAATAGGAACTTAAAATAACTCTCATTTAATATATAAGTACATATACTCATTTTGGTACTCTTCTCTTTAAATCATCTAGCTCAAGAGTTTTAATTTGTAACTCTACTGCTTTAATCCCCATGTCTGATTTATGTGACGCTTCTTTTATTTGCAGCGCTCTCTTCTTCAAAGCGATTAATTTGTCAAGTTTTATACCTATGCTGGCTTGCGATTCTTCGTATGCTTTCACGTTTGTTTTTAAAATAGCAAGTTTTTCGCTATCAGCAGAGGGCTTCGTTTTAAAAGATTTTGTAGTACTACGACTGGTGGATGGGGTCGGCTCCTCTTCTTCCTCGCCGCTAGCAATTAACTCGTCTATCATCTCATCTACTGCCTCTTCCTCCATCACTGACACTGTACTCCCAAACGATTGTACGGTTGAGAGTCCTTCTACCGCAACATCTATGCCGGTAGCTTGGAGGAGTTGCTCTTCCGCTGCAGTTAGGAGCTTTTCTTCATACGGACCACCGCCAGTCTTTTGCTTCGAAGCTTTGTTGAAAGACATCTTTTTTTGATGTTATGCTTTTGATCAGCAAATACCTATTTGTGCATTTAAGTGTTAACTTTTGTATAACAGTTCACTTTGCTAGTAGTGAAAATACAAATATTACTTACCTTCCTCCAAGACTTATCATCTTTCATCGGCGGGCCGGCTGCGTTAAGTTTGAACGTCAACGCATCCCACAACCTATTCCCTGCCCACAATTAGGCAAGAGGTTTTTGGCTAGGTGTTGATGCTGCAACATGAAATCGCTCATCAAATTTTTTTGGCGCATATTAATTTTGTTCACATTTGTCCTAAAATCATTAGTTATGTTTATAATAGAATCAATAAAAGAAAAAGTAACTTACATTTTATCTCTTTTTATTAACCACTAGTCCGATTTTGCTGAAACAAATTAAAAAAAATTAAAAATTACAATTCCTTTAATCTGTTCATATAACGTTTTTCTATATAATCAACAGTTTTGCCGGTAAAAATAAATGTATGAAGAAAAAAAATATTTTTTGCCTAAAATATTAAATTTTTTTATTTTTTAAATTCATAAAAAATCCAAAATGGAAAAAAAGGCAAGTCGTATTACTTTCACGCAAAGTCACATAACCTTTAAGCAAAATGAGACATAGATCATGAAAATCGATGGACGCGTTTCGCTTTTATTCACAATTATGTCAAAAAAAGACCACCAATGGTGATAATTTCCCCTATATGATAGTTACTAACTTCAAATCGATATATCTCGATTCCTAGACGTGACCCAGCA